GAAATTAGGAAATTTTACGTATTTCTGAGGGTCAGAAATTGTTCTGTAGCCTCTCTAGAACCTATATACTGATGAAAGAGCGCTAGAAAAGAAAATAAAAGAATAGGGCAAAACATGGACTAAAAAATTGGCGTCCATCTAGCGGTGAAAGTTGGAACTACAAAAATTTAAAAATGCGATTTTCTCGAAAATTAGCGAACTTTGAGACTTCTGAGGCACAGAAAGTGTTATGTGATCGCATTAGAAGCAAAGTAATGCAATAAAAGCTTCCTAAAGGCTTTATTAAAGAAAATAAAAAAAATGTCATTTTATGGAGAAAATTTGTGGCGCCATCTAGCGGCGAAACTGCGAACTAAACTGAAAATACGTCTGCCCGTATACGGTTAAGGAAAAATATAAAAAGTAATATTTCGCAACTTTGACGACGTAGTATGCTTCTTTATACGTTTTAAAGCAATTTTTGTTGAATAAATTATGCATTTTTTTGTCTATTAAGCCCAGAAAATCAATTCTTATTTGACCCCTTAACGCGTGTTCGGGCATACCGCAAGCGAAATAGTAAACTGTGTAATATTTCATTTCTCAGAACGAAAATTAATCGGTTTAAGCGTTGGGATAAAGGATATCGATGAAGTAACATCGACAAACCCTCGATACTCCCCAGAGTCGGCCGATGGTAGCATAGAGAGCGATTGGAAAGTAATCGATCAATCGTATCTTAATTCGCACAATAGCCGGTGATATTGTAAAATTTTCACTTATGATGGATCGTTTCTCGTTGTCGGAAGAGAATAGCTGGATCTGGTTAACCGCGATGTTACAGTGTCGCATCGAGATCGGAGTCTAACGAAACGTAGCACACCTTCTAGCCTACAAACGAATATTAATTATGGTCGAAAATTAGTCGTCCACGATTCGAGTACGGCTCGATGTTATAAAGAGGGAGGTTGATAAGTCGCGTTTTACAAACGATGCGAAAGCGAGCATACAAACATATACGCGCAACGACAAATCGCACGGTTCCATGTCTGTTCCGGTCCGAAGAATCGGCACGACAGCTGTCACCTTTTAAAATCACGCCTAAAAAAATTGTTTAATATACGACCGCGGTTCCGTATCGGTTTGCACGGCACTTGTTCTCAATCGAGTTGCCAGGAACCGAGTCGAATCGCTGTGACGATTGGGGTGATTTTTAAATGGGGACGTAATTTTAGGGCGCGGACATTCGCATTCGACTTTGCGAGCCATATACGCATTCAATTAACATCGCTCCTGTTTCGGAAGATCGTTCTCGCTTCTCGTGTTTGCCCTCTTTCTTTTTTTATACAAACCACAGACTTTTTCGCGAAAACGATAGACTGCTCGTTCTCACGAGTTCGATCAGTGAAATATTTTTCACTCCGCAGAAACGTTCATTGATTTCTCGTTCGATCGACCGTAATCGAATGTATCGACCGATCAAACGCGTCTTTTCAATTTCTGATTGAGTCGTAATTCGAGTTGGACAGCAGTTAGCCAGAGTTAATGGTTTTTGTCCACTGGTAGGACCCGCTTGACGATTAATCGGAAAGGGCGCGAACTACTCTCACAGATGGCGAGATCCACCGATGACTTTTCGGATTTTCAAGCGGCGAGAACACGGATATCGCTTAGCGACTTTGTTCGAACGAAAAATAACGGGATTTCACCGAGGTAGCTAGGTGAAAATCGTATCGAAGACACGGTATACTTTGAAAGTCGGGTCGCGAATATACAGACGTCGACCACAATTTAACGTTCGCCATCGTCCATTAAATAATATCGACAAGGGGACATCGAAGAAGTTGGGAAATGAAAAAATTGTACCGACGATACATCGTGAAAAGAGGTTCGAGAATTTCGAAAATTTACGAGGGCAAACACGATCGAATCATGATACAAACACGGTTCGATGTTCCCTGCCTTATGGTTTTATATCGATAATCGTAACGCGATCGGCCATAAATTCGTCCACGAAGATCGTTCGAGGTATTGACCATCGTCCAGCAGCTCGACTGTAACGCGATCGCCGATAAATTCATATTTCCGATTGTTCGCGGGACTCGTAACAAATCGTAAAGTATAGTAGCAGGTTGAACGTCGACGGAATCGGTGGGCGCGAAGCGAACTATGTCGAACACAATATCCGCCAATTATTGGCCGATTGTCGTCGAGACGCCAACTGTCGTCATTGGTCAAGCAAATCGATCAGGGACGAGGGAGTGACCACGGGACGGGAAATCGATGCAAGATATACGATCGTCCACCCTACGATATCGGTCTTTGTTTTTGCAAGAAAGACGAGCACGAGCAGCGTTGTCCGATTTCGATCAACGAAATCGCGAGTTAGCGACCACGTAATTTTATGCGTGTTTGCTTTGCACCGAGGGCCGAGGGATCGCGCTTACAATGAGAGAGTTCGAAGCGCGACCACGAACGCTCTTGTCCCCAACGTTCGATTGTTTGTCCACGAGATGGACGCAACGCTGGACCCACTCGACTACGTTCCTCGATTCGAAATTATGAATAAATATTAGCTACACGGACAAGCGATAACTGTAGCGTTCCCAGCTGATGTCCCGATACGTTTCGCGCCAAGACGCCAACTACTCAATGGCCGTAAAGGGATTAAAACGCGGTGGAACAAGCGCGTTAGATTTCCAGCGTCACGAGTTGTTCGCGAAGGATGAAAATGCGACGCGAACGAGAAGCGAGTGAATAGCTCGATTCGTGGCACGCGACTTCACGTGCGCGAGTCGCGTGCACACCGGAAACGGTAGCCGGATACTTTAGTTGGAGCGACGTGCTACGAGAACGATCAACTCGCGACTCGACCAACAAAACTTGAACGTTTCGACTGCCACGTCAGCCATATCTCGGTGACGCATAAATTTTCACTCGACACGACACGTATTCGTTTCAAGTTTTTACGAGTTAATTCTATAGTGGATATCGAACGAAAGCGAAAGTAGTAAATTCTCTGAAAGAATTTCGTACTTACGGAAAATTTCATCCCTGTCCATAGAAAGGGCAACTGTGTAACTCGTGGTATTGTTTTTTTGCTGTAGTTACGCGATATCGCAAAAGAAACAGATAATACCGTTTAGATTAGGAAACAATGAAGCGAGCATATAATTTTGACCAGCAGCGTGCGTATAATGCGTAATAGCGCAAAAGTACCGGTTCGTCGATGGACATTGGGGTAAGAATCGAAGAAAGAAGATCGACCTTGAAGTTGATTAGCTGGCTATAGCTAGCCGTACCTGTGGGAACGCGATCCCTTCGAGTTAGCGGGGCGGGAACTGAAAAAGGGCACAAGAAGGGTGTTCGGTACTAGGTATTCGGATCAAGAGACGATTCGACGCGTTCTCGAAGGGTGGCGCGAATTCGGACCACACCGGGCGAAGAAGAATGCCCTCGACTCGCGGCTTTACGCATCGCCACGCGATCCACGTTTTTTCTTTTTTTCTTCGCTCGTTACTCGGACGTGTGCCGGGCGTGTGCGTCTCATAACCCTCGCTTTCGATCTTCAAGGATTCGCGCGACATCGAAAAATTGCTTCTCATAAGAGATACTAATTCTGCAATTATTCCTATTTTTATCGTTAGCCGAAACTTTCGTTTCATCCTATACTCGACAACTAATTACGTTCGATATAATATATAAAATAAGAATAGGAGAGAACGGGGAATGAGACGAACGATGCGATTAATAAATCGACTCGGTTCCCAGGCACACGGTCCTGCCGATAATCGTGCGAGCGCGTGCTACGTACGATTCCCTGTGTGACCTTTATCGCGATCGGCCACCCTCTCCCTCGTAAACGCCCACCCTTCGGTCAACTTTTGTCCTCGTCTCGCGCTACCATCGGAGTCATGGCTGTCATGGGGACGCAAGTAGCGATTTCATGGTGGCGTGCAAATTGATAAAGAAGGGTGGTAGGAAATTTAAAGAAGGCGAAATCGCGTGTCTCCGAACGAAAAGAAAATATACTCCCGATACTCGCTCGGTGCTTTTCGCACCATTGAAAATACCGTTCAGGAATGTTCAATCCGAACTAGGATAGTACTCGAGAGAGATTTAAAAATGTTCGAGACTTCTGCACGACCGAGAGACGAGAAATTGAGACGAAATTTGGAAAAAGTTTCCCCCGTAATAATCGATCGAGCAGATTTCGCATAGAATCTCGTCGGAGGACTGGTCGGGAACGGACGAGCTAAGCGCCACGAACGTTCCCACGAAAATCGCCCCCTTTCGATCGTCGCTTTACGATCCCCCTTTTTCCTCCGCGCCATTTCTCCTCGTGGTCGGTCGACGCAGCGGGCCGTGGGGTTGGAGAAGCTCGCTTTTCACCTTGCGATCGAGCGGCAAAAGAGAGAAGTTGCCCCCACCAGGCACCGGACGCGCACCTAGTCCCCCACCATCGAGACGGGGCACGCGGTCGTGCCGTAGTCGTGTGTCGTCCCCGAGTCCTCCCGACTCCCGCACACGACATACGTCGCCCGCCACGCGACTCGTGCACACGCCCGTCGATTGCTCCGCGTTTTCTACGCTAGTAGCGCGACCGCGAGCAACGACACCGCGAGACGTCGTCGTCCTTCGGCGAGACTCGCACGCGCGCGCGATCATCCTAGGGAAGCCGCGACACGTGAACGCGAATCGACCAGTGTCAACTTGTTCCCGGAACACGGCCGATTTATCTAGTCGCGTTTAACGGTGTGTCGTCGAAGATATCGAATCACGGTGGAATGACGGTAGTGGATGGACACGGCGGTGTCGCCGTAACGAG